GTGTGTGTGTGTGTGTGTGTGTGTGTGTGTGTGTGTGTGTGTATATATATATACACAAATTTTTCTGATTTAAAATGAGTTAAAATATCTTTTTCAACCAATGTATATTAAGTGCGCTTGCATATTTGTTGATAGACAATAAACCTTTAAGACCAAAAGCAAGATATCTGATATAAAATAATCTGACATTTCTTTGCTTATCCTTTCTTCTGGATCTTTCTTCTGAGAACAGATATTCCTAAGAAAACAAGTATGCAGTTACGTTCTACAAAAATTCCAGTTGTTTATATTGCCAGCTCAAAAGAAGATATTTCCGGAAGATCGAAACTTGACGACTGTTTCCGTTTTACTAAAATTTAGAATAAAACGTCTAAGTCCGAGTGAAATTTTAGAATGCTGGGCATAACTCAATAATTAACAAGAATTTAAATGAGGAATGTAGGAACGTGAGGACGTGAAGAATATACATTCCAGGCCAAAAGTTTAGAAATATTTTCTAAAAATTGACATTTTTAAGATTATATATTTAAATATTCAAAACAATATATTTTTTTAAATAACTTTATGAATCCAATAATGGCTATTTGAAGAATTATTAAAAACACATTGTTATGAATATTTTAAAAGAGATGTTTCAAAACTTTTGGCTTAGAATATATATATAAATTTATAAATTCAAATTTAAATTGGAAATATAAATTCAATTAGTTTAAATTCAGGACAATTAAAAAAAAATAATAATCAAAGTTTCAACTTTTTTTTCTATTTTACCATATAACGTATACTAATTGTCATGATCGTATGTTTGCAGGTGGAATTTGCTGCAGAAAGAATCAGAATGGAACTGATTGAAGCGGCCAAAAGCGGAGCGGCTGGTGTTGCGGCTTGGGGAAAAATGGATTTTTTCTGTCGTGAACCGAGAACAGCAGATCCAATTACGTTTACCACTAGGGACTCGCATCTCGTGAGTATATGTGCTAGTAATTTTGTAATAATATATATAATGCCCAAAAAAATTTATATATGCACACTCTTGTTGCAATGTTAATTTATAAAAAGAAGAAGCAAGATTGTGTCTTCTTTTTTGAAAAAGAATGTTGTCTTCTTTTTTCTTTTAAATAATCAATAAACCTATAAATATGAGAAATGATTTTCTATTCTTAAAATGTTAAGGAATCTTTTAGAGACATTGTTATGAGTTTCTGATATAATTCCAAAATTTTCTTTAAATAGAGCTTTTAATGCTTTTCTTTTTAAGACGAATATAAATCTATATTTTATATATAATCTATGTTAAAATTAAGAGAATTACAGTATTCTGAACAAAGAATCAAATATGTAACAGAGTTTCTATTACATATTTGTGAATCGAAGATATCAGCACCGTTCTGGAATAATTGTTTTTACTCAAGACTACTCCGCGGCACTTTAATGCACGTGTCTCTTAAATAATGCAAAGAAGAAATACGATCTGATTCCATTATCGAATAGAATCGTGACGATGGAAATATCTGATTAAATCGGGAATGCACTCGAGGAAGTTTTTTGCGCGAGTCAAGCAAGCTGCAAATAGTAACGGCGTAGCTCGCTTTCGAGTTTTCGCGAATATCTTCGAGAGGCGACAGCAGTGAGGTCAAGGAAACTTCGTGAATGTCCTCGTTCTAAATTACTAGAGATTCTCTTGACTTTTTTATGGGAGGGGGGGGAAAATGCATTTGACTCTTGCACATGGCGTATGCAGTCGATTATCGATACGCGATTTGCCACGTAAGTTTTCAGAAGAAAAAACACAGCAGAAGAAATATTAACCGAAAGCAGATACATGATACAATACATACAATTATCCAAAAAAGTACATTATTGAGGAATATAAACATAAGAAACAATGTAAAAATATGCCATATAGGTTTTATATTTGGCATACTAAAATTTCGACATATTTCGTTCTTTTCTACTTTTACGTTATTGGCATACAGCGATATTAATATATTATAATATATTATATAACGTAATAACTTTCAAGCACATCCCTCGACAATATTTATAAATAAATACAGGCTATATGGTAAAACTTGCAGTTCTTTCTAAATATATTTAAGATGTACTTTAAAAAATATGAATGTGAATTTAGTATCATTCGGTTTACATAATTTTCAGCAATCGTCTAAATAATTTAACACCAATATATGTTGTTAAATCAACAACCTATTGGTTAATTAATATATCATAATTAATATATCAATGATTAATATATAGGGTATTCCTCTTAATACAATTGGAAAGAGAATGATTTTACAAGAAAAAGTAAGTTGAAAACGTAGAATAAAATTTTTTTTATATAAGGTTTTATTTTTGGATTTATTTTTTGGATTGGTTTAATATTTCAGTAATACTCGTATTTTCAATAATTTATAAAGAATAAAACTCACATGTGTGAATATCCTGTTTTACCGTGTATTCTCGATTATCCAATACAATAAACACAAACATGAACAAAGAGTACAGAATAGTGTACAACGAGATTTGTTAAAATATAGAAAAATTTTATTCACGTTATCGATTTATTTTCATAGAATTATTCCTTTTCCAATTAAACTGAAATTTCCAGAATATTTAACATTCACAGACCGATATTCATAATTATTTGTATTTTTAAGGTCATTTTAGTAAAATTGTTTAAGATTACATTAATACGATTTTGTGATTGGTTTGGTGGACATCTTAAAATTGTACTCAAAACGATTTTGAGTACAAAAAGAATTACTATGATGACTATATATATGAATATCAGCCATAATATTAAATCCACACTCATATTTTTAATATAGTGTGACTTGAAGATAAATTCTTTGAATGTTACAAAAACATACTGATTTTTCTTGTTGTAAAAATTTCTTTTTCGTTTGTCATATTTGAAGACAGTCGGACGTGTCCTCAATGTAGAGCACTAACGCGAATGCTTTGCGCACAGCGCGTCCTCTTATGCGCTTTTACAGGCCACGAGACACCGTCGTTACCATTGCAAATCCTTGTTACACCGGCCATCATGGTGTCAAAGGGCGCGAGGACGAGGGTGAATGTACGTGCCCTCTAAAAGCGCATTTCGCCGCCCTCGTGCAGGAACTTGTTTATGACTGTTCTTGCATTGCTCGCTCTCCATCGTCGCGATTTATGCAGCCTGGTGCATTAGTGCATCCATTCTAGGATACGCCCCTTTCTCTTTGTAAATCTGGATAGTACGGATCATCTCACAATCTCAACGTTCATTGTTTCGCATATTACTATAACTACTATTATAACGCAATACCGAATATTGTTCGCAATATTGATATAATATATAATTCATATAACTGTAGTCTACTGTAGGAAAAATCTTTATTGAGTTTTTTTAAATAAAACAATATCCTTGTTTTGTTTTAAATAGAATTCTTTAAAAGTCATTTATTTTCGTTAGTTAATCACTCGGAAACTCTACAGGTGACTCATCGCTTTTCCTCAGGAAAAATAGATTCCAAATAGGTCACTGAATCTGTAATTAAATTGAATAATTTTTAAACACTCAGTATAAGCTTCAAGCTGCTATTCTATCGTGCAACTTTTTATCATGCATAATATGCACACGATAATGAAGTCAGAGCACGTGATTCTCTGCTTTGGGTCATCGAGATTTTTAATTTAACAAGAATATTACCCTCACTGGCTACTTAAATATATTATGTACGTATTATGTACGATATTCACGAGCTCTTTTAATATATACCTTGCCGTTTCTTAAAGTTAATAAATCACTGCTTCCGAACATAAGAACCTAATTAAATCATTTAATATTCAATAATGACGTAATGCAACTGCATTTAAAGCAGTCAACGATATCGGATAATATTTAATTAGGTCAAAAAATATATTAACATGAAACTAATTTAATAATTAACAATAAATGAAAAAAGTTATTCAAATAATAGAACTATTATATTAAAATATATTCACCTAGTACATACGAATAAAATATATTATTACAGAGAGAGTCGAATTTACTATAATTATAAATATTACAAATTTTTGACTATTATAGTGATCACATTATAGCTTTAACGCAAAGATCTCCGTCAATATAATGATCAATATTATTTTCGATCAGTAGATAATACGCATTAAATTTACGACGTGCAGATGGTTATTCAATACGAACATTTGCGTTCGTGGTTCAATTATAATTAATATCGATATCGGCGTACAAGCACAATTATCCTCTGTTCGTCCTGCGCTTATAATCGTAACGTTGCATTTGCATCGGACTCTCGTCCGTTATAGCAACAGTAAGAGAACGTATAAACGCGAATACTGGTATTGTTGGCACATTCACAATTAGATCAGAGGCTCCGATGCCTACTGCGATTCAGATATCGATGTTACATCTCGAGTTACTCTTGAATCAAGGACCAGGCGAGGATGGATTTTCGTTATATATATATACTGGTAATATTCACGATGGATATTGTATTTGCAATGCTCTACACCGAGATTCAAATGCTGCATTATTCTGAAAGCGTACAATAAGATCGAATATTTTCGAGAATAAATTATTTGTAAATTTTATTTGTTTTTTTTTTGTTTTGATTAAATTAAGTTATTGAAAATCTCCCATATTAATGTTTAACATTTAAATACCATTGTATATATGTACAAATACAATATATTTAAAAAGTTCTAAACTGGAAGAGCAAGGATTAGAAAATATTTAATTGAGATTTAATTTAGAAAATGAATTTAATATCTATATTACTTTATTTTTTTATGTCAATTATCTAAAATATTATCTAAAATATTTATTTTTAGATGTGTGTTTTAGGTTTAAGAATCAATAGATTACTTGACTGATATCTCATTTCATAAATTCACGATTCTACGTGTCCTTCAATATACAAATCTTTGATCCTGTGCGTATCTTCCAATTACTTCTTTTTTAATTTAGAATTCATAGCCTTTGAAAGATCGCTGAATTAAATTTTACTTATATATTTATGTTGAAACTATTCGCGAAATTGAAAATTAGTCTGAAAATTAGTGTTAAAACATCACAGTGACCACACGGTAGACTATTTTAAGGTAGTAATTAGCAGATGAGACATTTGTGAGAAATTCCAGATCGAAGCCGGCTCGTTTACTGGATGGTGCAGTAGTTCGAGCAAACGTCAATGTGGACGTTACAGTGGTTGCGTTTTAATTATCGAAAACTCCTACAGCTTTGCTTGAGTGTCCTTTAAAATTATTCCCTGGTGATTCGTTGAATATATACTCATATTGAAATCTCTTCGTGTGTATTGTGTGAATTCTTCGTTTGTGCCTCTAACTTTATTTTCAAAAAATTGTATTTTTACAAACTATTACATTAACTAGGCACTTTTCATAATAACTGTTTTAATTCAAGTATTTATTTATTTAAAATCGCGTTCTTGTCCAATAATTCATACTATTCTTATGTTTCAGTTTTGAATTTGTTAAAAAGAAGAACATACATGAAAACAATAAATATTCATTTTATTTAATACTTGTTAAATCTTAAAGAATAAATTAATATGCAAACTGCTCACGATTTTTCATGTAACAAAATAAATAAGTAAATAAAATTAATTAATTAATTAATTAAATAAAATTTATAAAGAGTAAAGTTTTTAATAATATTTAAAAGCAATCTATATTTTTTTATTCTTTGTTTTTATAATTATTATATTGTTACAACATAATTTTATACACACATGCGCGCGCGCGTACACACACACACACACACACACACACACATACACACACACGCACGCACGCATATATATATATATGTATATATAAGAAATCGATATAATGGCGTACTATCCGAATGTTAGCTTCGTAACTATGAGAAATAAAAAAGAACTAATAATACATCAATATCGAAATACAGTTGAAATTATAGATTTGAAATTATTTGCA